AGTAAGTTAATTTAGCAGGTCACAGGTTAAGAAATTATGATACAAAAATAAATTGCAATTTTATATATTAGCCATGAACACATGGAACCCAAAGGGAGGAAGGAAAAAAGGAAGGAAGTCCCCTAACCGCCCCCCCGCCCCCTTCAGCTCTGTCTCCTTTCTCAGCAACTCTACCTCCTTACCTCTCTTTGACCTCCTTTATTCTCCTTCAGAGCCTGGCCTTTGACTTCTTGGCCTCTTCTTCCCCTTCTTTGCCTGCAAAGCCCTGCCCCTCCTGGGGTCTCCTTCACACCCCCGCCTCTCTGGTCCCATCCTTTCTGCCGCCAAACCCCTGCATTCCTCAACAGCTCGGCCTGGTCGGCTTTAGCCAAATTTGTGGTCCGTGCCCCTGGGCTGGGAAAAGAGTGCGTGGCGCAAAGTGGGGGCAAGAACCCCCTCGGCGGTGGCTCCCCGCCTCGCCCCCCTCCGCCCCTCCGGAGCCCGGGTTGCGGCGCTTCCTGGGCGGATGGTTGGGACTCGCTGCAGCAGCTGCGGTTCTGCTGTGTCATGCAAGAAGAGGGCGGCCGGCGCTGGAGGGGGAGGAGGGGAGGAACCTGATCTCTCCGGTAGCGAAGGGCTGGAGGCTAACACCGAGCTCCCCCGAGCCTCCCTGGAGCAGGGAGGGCTCCGCTACCTCGGGGGGCCCTCCCCGCGGGCAGATGGTAAGTGGGGCGGCGCAGGTGGTCGCCTTGGGAAGGGAGCGCGCATGGGGGTTAGGCGGGGAGGTGGGGAGAACTAGGAGTGACCCGGGCCAAACCGAAGGAGCCCAGTGGCCAGCTGAGAGGGACCTAGGCCAGAGTAAGGGTGACCAGGAAAACGCAACCATAATTACCATTCGAATAACGGCCCGCAGTTGACTCAGGCTCCAGAGGAGTTGTGCGTCCCCCACCCAGGACAGAGCTAGAGGCGATCCTTCAGGGTTTGAGACCCATCATCCCACCAGCACTGGTTCTTCAGGGGAGAGCTGAGTAGTCAAAGTCAACATGCACCCTATTCCTACAGCCTGGCTGAGCGCGAGGAGCTGACCTGTTTAAAAGTAGGGAACGGTATGGAAACCTGCCCAACCTCACTTTAGCCACGAAAATAATAATGCTCTTGGCCAGTGGCCTCAGACAAACAGCCACTGGAGCAATTAAACAATCGATAGGAAGAAGAGCTTCGTTCCCCGCACCACCCTCCGGCAACCAGAGTCATTTGTCCTGCGGAAAGGAGAACAAGACTGTGCGCTTCTGTTCCCTCGCCTCCATCCCCATCGGCCTCCGCCCCACACAAGCTGCCGACCCCACTACTCACTCACACGCTGTCTGACCATGATGAGGGGACGGCCTTCACCTCTGAACTATTGCACCTCCACTGCCCTTTACCAGAGGGGCTTCAGAAACACAGAACTGAGAGCAGTGGGTGTAGGGACAGGCTGGGCACATATGGACATTATTGCTTTTACCTGAGTGCAGTTCTCAGGAAAACCTTCTATTATTATTATTATTATTATTATTATTCCTTTCCATTCACTCCTGGAGATTTTAAAGTGTTTTCTGAAACATCTTTTTTTTTTTTAATGCCAGTCATATGTTTAGAAAAGTAAGGGGTTGGTGGGATTCACGGAAAGGCTAATGACTGTCTCCGAAGCACATGCTGTTGCTAGGGAACTCGGGCTCCTGCTTTCCAATCACCAGCGTGTTCTGTGCAAGTCACATTTCTCAGGGTGTTATTATAATGAATGGCGTTTGGTTAGAAGCGTTCCTGCCTGTGTTGTAGCATCCTGCATGATCGTCGATGGCCTCACACCCAGTATCTTGTTTTCCTAATTTGATTTCTGTATTTGCGTCACTGCCAGGGACAGCAGACTAGACCAGTCAGGTTCACTTCCTGTTTCTCAGAACTGGTCTATATTTGGTCTCCCAGCACTAGCTGGTAAAACATTATCAAACTGATCCTCTTGGAAAGAAATTCGTTCTTTCTGTGAAAACAAATTAGTCCAATTAAATACTAATTTGCGTGGAACATGTCATCATTTGAGGAATAAAGTAGACTGCCCCGTTTGCCATTTGAGGAACCCATTCTTGAAATGGAAAGCCTAGGTCCTAGGAAAACCCGTTATCTTTATTTTCTTTTACCCAGAATCTTCATTCCTCAGCATTAGAAGTAAAACAAACTCAAGTAGAGAGTAGATTTGGGATGATATTTCTAAAAATGAAGCCCAAAAAAATACACATTGAAGCTGGGGAACTCATTTAAGCCAAATAAGGCACAGAATTGAGTGGAATCCAGGCCCCGGGAGCACAGGGTTAGCACTGGGGCTCAGAGAACACCGTGTGATCACACGGCTACACTACAAATAGGAGCCCATCACTCTGAGGACTATTTGTCTCTTACCAATCCCCTGTGTCCCTTGCTTTTTCCCCCAGTTCCTTCCTCTTTATAACAAGGATATCACAAAAGCAATATCATAAAGATAAGCACTATGTAAACAGTTTGGTAGGTCCTGATGTAGATAATTTGTTTAGATGGAAAATATAAGATGTATTTGGCATTAAGGAAAGGTCAGCTGACTGAAAGTTGGGAAATTTGCTCCCTTGCTATAGACCAAATGACCTTGGGCGAGCCAGTCCAAGCCTTTCTTCTCCTGTCAATGTCCTCATGGAAGTTTAACAACAGTGCTGGACTCAAAGATGTCTAAGCTTCCTTCCAATTACAAAATTCTGTGATTATATTGAATTTCGATTTTAGCTGGATTTTGCCATGTTACATTTTGACACTGAAACTGTAATACCTATCCATAGTGACCTTGGAGGACATTGTAATGGGGAATGAGTTGCTGTTGATACATCATTGTCAGTTTTCAGACAATCAAATGAAATTGATCTTACTCTCAATGTACTTACTCTGCTTGTGTAGTGATGTTGTAGCAGCAACAGAAAGGCTATAAAATTGTATGGGATGGGCTTTAAGTCACGTTAGATTTAGTTAACCCAAAATCCTTGGATGAGCAAAACAGTGGAATGATGAAAAAAAGCTACACAAGAAATAATCAACTGAATCCTCATGGAGCTAATACCTATTTACCTGTTATTTTAAATACTGATAGGCAAAAATATACCTAGCACAGATTTTTGAAATTTTCAGATTCAAGATATTAAGAAGCAGCATGAAGAAATGTGAGACTTGTGCCAGAGAGAAAAAACCCAACTTTGAAACCCCACTCTGCCACTTGATTTATTCATTATTGAGTGCCTGCTCTGTGTCAGGTACTATGCTAGACACTGGGAATACAAAGACAAGTAAGATAGTCTGCTTCAAAGGAACTTATAGTATAATGAGGAGACAGATAAGTACACAGTTGATCACACAACAGTGAGATGATATCAACAAGAGAGCTCAGAGGGGTAACCAACCATGGCTGGCCATAGTCAAGGTCCCTAACCATAGAAGATGAAGAGGAGTTCTGAAAGATAAGTAGAAATAATACAGACAAGTGGGCAAGTTAAAGAGAGATGTATTCCAAGTTAAAAAAAAAACAAAAACGTACAATGTATGAAGTCCTGGAGGTGAAAAGGTTACCCAGAGAGTTGGGAGGGAAGGACAGTGCCCAGGAAAGCAGTAGATGCTCAGTTAATACATTGTGTGGATGCACGGCAGGAGTTCTGAAGGATACGCCTAGAAAGATCAGTAAGGTCTTGTATGTCTTCCTGAGAAGTTTCAATTTATCCTAAAGCTGATGGAGAACCACTGATAAATTTTAAGGAGTATGTCCATTTTAGAAAGATCATTACAGTTTGAAGAATTTATTAGTGTGAGTAACACTGTAAAACAAACGGACTAGTTAGGACATTAGCATTATAGGCAGCAAATGATGGACATCTAAACTAAGGCAGCAAGAATGGAAATGGAGAGAGCAGAAGGATTCAAGACATATTTAGGATAATAGAACCAACTGAATTTTATTATTGATTTTATCTGCAGGATTAGCAATAGAAGTAGATTTATGACTTAGGTAAATGGCAGGATAGTGGTACCGTTTGCCGAGATGGAGACTTCAGGAGGAAACATAGGTTTAGGAGGGAAGGTAATGAGTTTAATTTGAAACATGTTGAGTTTGAAGTGTCCGTGGGCTATCAAAGTGAAGCCTTGTATTATGTAATTGAACAGGAAAGTCTAGAACTCAGGAGAGAGATCTATGCTGGCATCATCAGAATGTGATAATGTAATGGTTTATGAAAGTAGATGACATACCCAACAGAAAAGGTATAGCATGAAAAGAGGAGAGGAACTACTCTGGAAACTTATGGAAATTACAACATTTAAAAGGTGGGAAAACAAGCATACAAAGGAAGGACATCCAGAGAGGTAGCAGGACCAGGAACAAGTAGTTTCAGAGAAGCCAAGGGAGGAATTGGCAACGGTATTAAATGCTAGAGAAAGGTCAAGAAAAATGAGGACGGAAAGTCCTCGGACTTGGTAACAAGGAGGTCATTGTTGTGTTTGGCAAGAAGGAATTTATTGGGGTAGTAACCAGATTGCAGTGGATTGAGGAGGAGAGGAGGTAGATAGAGGAAGTTCTTCTGGATAAGAAGGACTAAAGGGCAAGTAGAAGGGGGAAATAAAGGTATTGGGAAGAGAATGAAAGCATGGTCTGTTAAGGCTGAATAGGAAACAACGGAAATAATACAGCAATACCAAACTTTTTATTCTGTGAAGCCCTCTCCTTCAAATTAAATGGCATCACCATCCACCAATTGCTCAAGTTGAAAAACACATGTACAGGATTCTTCTCTTTTCCTCAGTCCTCACATCCAATCCATGAGGAATTCAGCTCAACCCTCCCTCCAAAACACTTTCACAATCTATCTATTTCTATCTCTACTGCTACCACCCCAATATAAGAACCATCTTCTGGGCTTCTGTAATAGCGTTTTAATGGGTCTTCTTGCTTCCACTCTTGCTCCTACACTCCCCAGCACAGCCAGAGTGACATAAAGCATAAAACATAAATCAGATCTTATTTCTTCTCTTTTTACAATCCCTCCATGTCTTCTGATTGCACTTGGAATGAAGTCCAGACTCCTTTGCTGGTCCTATGTGGCATCGCAGACTACCTCTTCAGTCTGTCCCCCCACTCCAATCACACTGGCCTTTTGGATACTCCTCAATCACATTGGATTTGCTCTTGTTTTAAAGGACTCACCCCAGATATTTCCTTTTTCCTGGAATAGTCTTTTGATCATTCTAATCTCTGTTTAAATGTCACCTCCTCAAAGAGGCCTGTCCTGGCCACCCTTACTAACGTATCCTTCTCTGTCTACCTTCCCAACCATCCCATGTATTTTTTTCAGAGTAGTAAAACTTTATTACTATTTGTTTTTATTGTTTGAACCCTAAGAGGATTTCTGGCACATATTAGGCACTTAAAAATGTTCATTGGATGTTTATAGAAGAAAAAAAGAAGAGACATTGATTATTAGAAATGAGAGGCATGAAAGATCAGAGCCTGGTGTGGTTGAGGGATGGCCAGTGGTGATGGATTACTAGGCTTTTAAGATTCCAGGAGTGGGAGAGTTACTAGCTGTGTGACATTGGGCATTCGTATTCTCTGAGGTTCACATTGTGATTAATAATAATATGTGCATCACAGGGCTACTAGAAAAATTAAATAGTATAGCGA